CATATGAACAAGTTTCCAATTTTTCGAACAAATATATCAGTGTCAATTTATTAGTATAATTTTGTCAACATTTAGTACACTTGGAAAAGATTATTTGTAGACATTAATAACAATTTATATGAAGGAGATTTCCTGAGTCAAACAATATGTTTGTAATATGAAATATTTTGTATACATATATATAATACAAAATGTACACGCTTAAAAATGTAAAATCATAAAACATATATGTATACAAAAAATCAACAATATTATATTTTCATTAGTAAATGAAGATATTACTTCATTAGTAAATGCTTTATTAGTAGATAATTAAAAATTATATATTTTTATGCAGAAGTTGATGCTTAATCCATAAGTCTGTTCTTTAAAAAAGAGATATCAACCGATATTAGTTATACTAGAGTATTTACCAATATTTACATGTGATAAAGTAAAATTGAAATTTGAAGAGAAGTGTTTATAAATAAAAATTATATGTATGGATAAACATGGAATTTAATGTATATATAAGCCATAGTGTTCAGCAATACAAATGCTATTGCAAAGTAGTTGATCATATAACCGGTTAGCGCTTTTCTCTCGTATTGGAGGCCCTCTAATAAAAATTGCTTCATGTTAGACAAAACAGACGAATAATTGGTCTTCAGAACTCTCAATTTTTCTATTTATTCGGGATCATTTAAATCATCAGAATCTAAACTACTGCTACTGCTGCTGGTGCTGCTGCTGCTTGACGTATTGCTTTCAGAGTCTGTATCAGAGTCTGTATCGCTGCTATCCGAATGTGAACTTCTCGATAATCTGCATTTATATACAATGATTAAAAATAATATAAAATACGATGAGTATTATAAAAATGTCTTAAACATGCACATTATTTAGTTAAAACTGTCATTCTCAGAATTCTTATTATCCAAATATCTGAGAATTCGAATATTCAAATACCATCTGGATTTGAAAATTCTTGATCAATTGCTCAATAATTTTCATAAATCAATAATTATTTGAATAACGCAAGTATTTAAACTATTAGACTTTGATATAATGAAAATTTGTTTCCGAGAACTCAAGTAGTTACTGTATAATACATAATTAAATAAAAAGTTAGGTATTAGATGAGATAATGTTACACATAAAACTATCAAGGGTTAAAAAATGTATAGAAATAACAAATAATAAACAACTATTATATATACACATGTGTTAAACAGCGATTGTTAACAATCAAGCTAGACATATAAAAATACTTACAAATACTTAAAAATTTTTTGGTTAACATAGTATATATTGTTTGTCCTTCAAAATAAAATTATACAAGATATGTAAAGTATATTACTATACTAAAAAAATAACAAAAAAATAATTTTCTTCTTACTTTTCTTTCTTGGTATTATTCAGAGACATAGCATCGATCTTTTCAGTCACTTGATGAATAGTATTTTCTATAACAAAACTTTCTTGAATGGAATAAGCTGCCACTTCCAATTCTACTAAATCAAATCCCATGCTTGCTTTGTTTGGATGAATCTAAATAGAATGATAAGAATTTAAACATATGAGCTGAGAAGTGTGTTAAATATAAACAGTTTTTAACAGTTTGTAAGGATACTTACGTTACTTAACATTGAATAAAGTGATTCTATTAAGGATTCAGAAAGTGTTTGTATCCAAATTAAAAAATCCTTTATATACAGTTGATTTAATATATATCTTGGTTCATATGAATTATTGAAAAGACTGTGTATTTCACAGAAGCGTTTAATAATGTATTTCTTTCCTACATAAAAAAATGTTTGACGTAGTAAAAATATATATCATCACAAATAAACATTTTAATATTCCAATTTATACTGACCTAATAATATAACTTTCTTAACATCTTCAAATATTTTAATAGAAAGCTCCCAATTTCTGTATAGTGGATAACAAAGTGATCTTCTGATGCTTGCTATTACAACTTCATCCATAGAGGTAAAATTCTGAAAATAATTGAAGAAATTAATTCGTTGATATAATTTTTAGTAACAAGTGCTTCATTAAACATACTTGAAACCAACATAACGTTGAACTTAGTTTATTGATAGTCCAACTACTTTCTACAGTATTTTCTCCCAACGTTGTTCGATGATTGTAACAGCTGGCATATAAGATATCGACAAGATTTAAACATAACTTTCGAACATTCTCGGCATCTAATAAATATTCTTTGTTTGGAAGTTCCTTCAAAAGATCGACCTCAGTATCGCTGAACGTGATTTCATCTTTTTGCAACATGTCCCATTCTGCTGTGTATGTTGCGTATGGCTCAATGCATTCTGATTGCATGAGATCTGCCATATAATGTTCTTCGGAAAAATCATTCAATTCACGTTGTTCCCGCAAATTTTTTCTTTCTGTTTCAGGAGTTGCATCAGGAGAAGGAAGATCTATTATTTCTTTAATCCAAGCTGCCTAAATTTAGGAAAATATAAAACATATATATTACTGATTATGTAATTAACTTGATTATTAAAATAAGAAAATATTGTAGACATACATCAAAAGCAGTAAAAGCTCCGGATACTTTATTGGCAAAACCATACTTTGGAGAATCTATAAGAGTCGTATTTCCCACTGGATTATCCTGAGGTATAAACCAATTGTTTCCAGAATCATTACCATCTACAACAATACTGTTGCTTTCATTAATATCTGTTGAATCTGCGGATGGATTGCCTAAGATTAAGAAAAAACATTTAACATTGTATCATTATGTAATATATCTATATATTATATATATTCTCATATATCTTCATAACTTACCGATTACCTCAATGTTAGGAATGACAATGTTAGGACCGCTTTTATTTTTTGGCGATGCTAGAAGGATGCTTATCATATCCAAGTTTTCAAAATGTTCTCCTTGATTTACCTTGGAGAAACATAAGGTAAAGTCGCCCTTTTCACAGTCATAAGCACCAGAGGATAGATTATTCTCCTCGATCTTGCCTGGCAGTTGCAATCTATGAGAATTTAATTAGTTAATTACTACTTGTGGGACTGTTTTGTAGACTGTGGGACTGTTCGCAAATTTGTTGTACTCACCTCAGATAATATGGAGTAGAAGAAAATCGAAAGTCTGTACCGTCGACGTATACCTCCGTATCTTTTATGTTGGCATATGGAGCGTGCACGATGATCGTCACCTCCGTATCGGTTTGCGTGATCTTAAAGCGTGGCGTTAACATCTTATTATATCCCAGCAAGGAGAGTTGTGAAATTACTTATACTTGACGCATATTGCACAACGCGAGCAAATATAGCCGCGAATACAGGGGAATGGTGGATACTGTATAAGAACAAAGTTTTAATCGAAAATTAATTTTTTCAACGTACAAAGTACGCGTGGTAAAATCTGCTTCATTTAATTTTCGTCGTACTGTATTACCGTAAACAATGTTGATGATGTGACGCGATCACCGCAATGGATCAAACGAAAAGCAACAGGAGTAACAGGAAGCGAAAAGCGAGAGTCCCTGAGACGCTGCGCTCTGCACCTCGCGTTTCCGGAAGTAGCAAATCAGTTGCTGGCTATGCCGGAAAGATCAAATTAGGTTAAATTGCTGTTATTTGAGCAAAAGTAACTGTTAATTTCTTCATCTCTCTCTTTGTATGTACGTAAAATGCCGTCAGCTTCGCAATTGCACATGTGGGCTCTAGGACTCGGCACGGTGAGCGGCGCGATACTGTATTATTACAACACGCACGGCCATGCGGATCCGCTACGTGTATACAATTCGTGGACGACGAATTATACACCCTCGATGAAGTGGGACCACAACTGGGATAGGTGAACTTATCCCTGTTAGAATTGTTCTCTTCCTTTTCCTTGTCTCGCCTGTGACAACTCGAGAACGACTTACTATTTGATTTTCAATTGAACTCTAACGTCCCAGTATCTCAAAGGTAAATAAAAAAGAGATAATCATGTTGCTATTACAGTTTACATTTACAGGCGGGATCCAAAAAGCTTGGTAAAGCCGATGCAGATAAAGGATGAGAACGACGAGAACAAGTACAATGAAAAATTTGAAGCAAAGAGAGCAAAGGCTGTGCGACACATACTCTTGATTCGTCATGGACAGTATCATACGGATGGAAAAACAGATGTTGAGAGAATGCTGACTGAACTTGGTACGGGATGTCTGGCAAACTTTTGTATGATCGAACATTAAAATAGCATGTGGTTGTCCTAATAATTTTTGCATCATGATTTGTTTTTCTATTTATGTTTCATAATGTTTCTTTCTGCATAACCTGAAGCATATAACATTTCCTTTCTTTTTAGTGCTGTCTTTTTTAATGTCATTTATTTCTGATGGAGTTTTATTTGCATATAGGTCTCAAGTTAAAGCTACTGGAGGTTCACAATAATTTGTCACCATAACCAACAAACTATTCTAACAAGCAATTTCTGAAGAGAATGTTAAATGAATTCTACCACTATAGTATTCCTTAGGTATTAGTATTAAGATAAAATACTTTCTGTCTACTTGTATTTTTTATGACATCGCTTTGGAAGATGGCTAATACACTATCTTACAAAAAGTATGTAATAAGTCATGATACAGCATGTTTTGTTTCGTATCAATAATCAACAATATTTTATACTCTATTGAAACTGATGATATTTTCAAAAAAACAATAACACTGTTATTCTTCCACTGCTTAGTATTATTTCTCTAAAAAGGCTTGCAGTTTATGATGCAAATTATTGTGTACTAAATTTTTCAATTCTTTTTGTTTCATTAAAATTTTGTGTTTATTTTATTAAATATTTACAATTATGACATGTGAATATATTACTTATAAAAATGTCTATTTTATATAAAGGCAGAAAGCAAGCTGAAGCAACGGGAAAGAGGTTAGCAGAATTAAACTTGCCTTACTCATTGATAGTAAGGTCTACAATGACACGCGCTTTGGAAACTTCTCAAATTATAGAAAAGAGTCTTATAAATGTACCAGTTGAAGATGATAGTTTGTTAATCGAAGGTGCACCTATACCTCCGGAACCACCTATTGGTCAATGGAAATCTGAGAAACATGTGAGCAGAAGATTAATTTTTATATTACTAAGTGTATTGATAAGATTTTATATAAAATTGGAATACATATAAAAATTTTATCTATCTATATTCTAGTTCTTCCAAGATGGGCCCAGAATAGAAGCAGCATTTAGAAAATATTTTTATCGTGCGGATCCTAATCAAGATCATGATTCCTACACTGTTCTTGTGTGTCATGCAAATGTCATCAGATATTTTGTTTGTCGGTAAGATTTTCTCTTTTACACCGATTAAATTTAATAGTCTCTTTAATAGTCTTGTATATCTTTTAATTTTTTGTTTAAGAGCGTTACAGTTTCCACCAGAAGCTTGGCTACGAATATGCTTGAAACATGGAAGTATTACTTGGCTTTGTATTCTTCCTAGTGGCAGAGTTACCCTCTTTTGTCTAGGGGATACTGGACACATGCTACCACAAAATTTAACATCTAGCTAAAAACGTGTGGCTTAAATGATACCTAGGTTGATCACTGATATATACATATAAGATTGCATTCCATGTGATGTATAAATCTATTTGATATCATCTTTTTCAAGGAAATAATTCATTTGTCATGTGACTGTCGCGTTAATGCAATTGTATACAAGAAAAAATTCTTATAAATAAAATAATAATAAGAACCGGATATATGCGGAAATTATAATATTTAAAAAATGTTATCTTGTGTATCCTGAATATAATTGTAATATATAAATATTTTCTCTTTTTACAATCAGTTATATCTATTTAAATTATCGTTTAAGCATTTTAACTTGCAATCACATTTTTACATAAAATACATTTGTAATTTTTTAATGTCATAAAATAATTTATCCTTAATTTTTATTTTATATATTTTTACAATCGGAGATTATATCATCTTTTTGTATAATTTCATTGTAATAAAACCAGTATTTATGTATTAATCAATATAAAAGTGAAACAGATAGTATTAGTATTGTATACAACTAACATAATAAATTGATTACATTTAAGTGGCTATAGCTAATCTCTTTGCTTTTCTTGCATGATATCTTTGTAATGCTGCTTCGAATACTGGACCTACAGTTCTTTTTTCCCAAATAGAGGATCTATCCTTCTTTTCAACAAGTTTTTCTTTAATCTCAACTTTTTCACTTTCTGAAGTAATTTTGTCATCTTGAAGCATCTCTGTATCTTTTATATTTATATCTTTAGCCTTAGTATCTATGATATTTTTAACCATATTTACATAGTTTTTATCTAACTTCTGTTTATTTTCCTCTGATTCTTGTATGTTCGATCTGACAGAGTCTTTGTTCACCAGTAAAACAACAGTTTTATCTTTTTGTAGCGCTTCTTTACTTATTTCTGTTTCAGAGTCAGATTCGTACATCTCTATGGTTCGCTGTTTATATTGTCTTGATTTTTTAGATTTTGTAATTGCTCTCTGTTTTTCCTCCATTTCATTTGCTCTCTTACTCGCTGTTGCACTTTCTTCATTTGTGCTGTCTATCGAAGTTTTCCTTTCCTTTCGTTCGATATTTTCTTGTCTTGCCTCACCATTTTCATCTTTGTTAGTCTCACTCTTATAATCCACTGTCTGCTTATATAAATGGCGGTAAAACCCTGACATATCTTGTTGCTTTGTTACATCACCAATAGCTTCTAATCTATTCATTTTAGCCTCCTCTTCCTCCATCTTCTTAAATTCTTCCAGTTTTGCTCTGTATGCTGATGTAACAAAACTCTCCTTGTCTGCATACATCTCACCTTCTGCTTCTCGTTCTTTCTGCACCATTCTTTCTATTCTATGCTCCTGCTCCTTTTTTCTTCGTTCAGCTGTTTTTAGAAGTTTCTGTATGTATTTGGATTTCTTTTCTTTGTGTTTAATTGCGTTATCAGATTGGTTCTTGCTACGTTCTAAATCGTCATATACTTCATCATACTGATAGATTGTCGGGTCTTCATTCAGAGCCTTTTGTATATCAAGTTTTGTTTGCTTCTTCATCCTGTTTTTTTCACCTTCTGCCTTGAGAGCCTTTCTGACCCAATCGGTGCCATCGTCTTCGTCGGAGGCATTGTCATCCCCAAAAATATTGCCAAGTTTTGGCGCCGTATTCTGTTGCTGTTTCTTTGGTAAGATTAAACCGTATCTTGAACAACATTAAAAGAATATTAGTCACATATAGTAGATTATATTAAAAATCCTTATATACGCGATATAAGATATCTTTGTTACTCACTGTTTGTTAGCCATACTGAGTATGTACTGTTTATTTATCTGAGATTCTTAAATTATAGTGACATTCTCGAATCACAGAGTAAAAGTTAACCTTTCTGCTTGGAAAACCCTCTAATTCTAATTTGTTGGTCGTATAGTATATAAGAATTACATCATATGCTCGTAAAGCGTAGAATTCGTGGCCTTCTCACGAATATCACGAGTTCATAACGAATCCCGGAAAATGTAAGCGTGATATCTCAACCGCGATACCGCGTTTATCGCGCATGAACCAACGAGACGGACAAGGACGGAAGAGAGAGAGAGAGAGAGAGAGAGAAAGCGAGATGGATGACTGGTTAGAGATTCGCAAAGTATGGTGACGTTTGGCTTTCCCCTCCGATGACTCCCCCCTCCCTGGCACCGTCGACTTGTCGCCCACTCGTCCGACGTGTGGACGTCAGCACTGCACGTATATGCCGAAGGATTAAAGCCTTCCCGTGATATGAGGCTCTGACAATTTTTTCGTAGTAGTACAGTCCAGTAGAACCAGGAGTGTTCGAGGTGTTAAGGAGAATTCATTCAAGTGTGAATAAAATGATTTCACAAATGGACGGCATATATCGCGGCGTCGTCCTCGCGCTCATCTGCTCCACGGTCGCCCTGGTGAACGGTTACGTGTTGAACGTCCCCGAACAACCACGGGATGGTGACTACGTTACCACGTCCTACACGCATTACGAGGACCTGCAGCGGCTGTTCAATTCCTTGGAGCACCGATACCCACACCTCGCACGGGTGTTCTCCATCGGAAAGTCGGTCGAAGGGCGGGATCTTTTGGTTCTGGAGATCTCGGAGAATGTCAAGCAGCGTAGTCCCGGTGAACCCATGGTCAAATACGTTGCCAATATGCACGGAGACGAGACCGTAGGCCGGCAGATGCTGATCATTCTTGGTCAGTATCTTCTGGACCGCTATGGCAAGGACGATCGTATTACCCAACTGGTGAATCAAACGGATATCTATTTAATGCCATCCATGAATCCGGATGGTTTTGAAAATTCAGTGGTAATGTTCTTAATTGTGTTTCAATCTTATCATAAATAATGTAAAATAATTGATAATTATGAATAATTAGCAAATCTCGCCCTTTTAGGAAGGTAAATGTGAGTCCAAAGAAGATTATTCAGGTAGAGAGAATGCCAATCATGTCGACTTAAATCGGGATTTCCCCGATCAATTTGACAGAAGACTTAGTCAGCTCAAGAAGGGAATGTCTATTCTGAACGGTCGTCAGAACGAAACAGTGGCTATGATGACTTGGATTTCTAATGAGCCTTTTGTGCTCTCTGGAAATCTTCATGGTGGTGCTGTAGTTGCCAGCTATCCATATGATTCTGGGTATATTATACAATCATTAACATAATAACTGTATTATGCTGTTAAATTAACCAGTTATTACTAAGAATTTCAATTTGTTATTTAATAAGAAATATGCTTTTTTAGTATCCCAAAAACATGTTGTATAGAGAGCAAAAGTCCAGATGATAATTTATTCAAGTATCTCGCCCATATTTATGCAGACAATCATCCAGAAATGCGCAGAGGTAACGCTTGTCCACCAGATGTGTTTCGAAGTGGTGTTACAAATGGAGCATATTGGTAAGAATAAAAATATAGTCTTTAGAGACAACATTTAAGTTATTGCAAAAATATTTAACAATATAAATATTGTTGAATTTTTTGCACAAAAATATTAGATGCTTGTTAATATATTCATGGAAATTTAAATAAATAATTGAATACTGATATTCTTGCAAAATTAAATTGATCGCGAATTAAATAAATTGCATCACAAAAAAATTTGTTAATAGGTACGAAGTGATAGGTGGAATGCAGGATTTTAATTATGCTCGCTCTAATGCATTTGATATAACATTTGAGCTTAGTTGCTGCAAATATCCACCGGGTTCAACAATACCAGATCAATGGCAATTAAATAAAGAATCTTTGATTCAATATCTGGAGCAAGTGCATATGGGAATAAAAGGTAACGTCCTAATGTATATTTTTCACACACATACACGCGCGCAAGCGCGCGTGCGTATGGTGTGTGTGTGTGTGTGTGTGTGTGTGTGTGTATGTGTGACACTTTTTAAGTTATATTAATTTAAAAAAAAGATTTTACTATATAGCTTTCTACTGGTTACAGGTTTTGTACGCAGTAGGAATGGTAATCCGATCGAAAGAGCAAATATTATTGTGGAAGGAATAGACCATAATGTTACAACTACGGCCGATGGCGAATATTGGCGCTTACTACTTCCAGGAACTTATTCAGTTTACGCTGCTGCATGGGGGTATGTATAAACATTATGATTAATATGTAATGTATCAGGCGAAGTTAATGAATATTTTTGGTTTGTTTATTATATTCTTTTTTTCTATCCAGGTATGAACCTAGTGATCCAATAAATATAACTGTGTTAGAAGGTACACCGATGATTCTTAACTTTACATTAAATGGTAAAGAAGTTATTGAACAAGGTAAAAATGATATAGATTATCTACAAATAGTACCACTTTTTAACAGACTTCCTGCACTCTATAAATTGATAATAGATGATTATGATAACCAAGATTATTAAGAACATTAAATCATCTAACAAAATTGTCATGGCTTATCTAACATCCATCTTTTTATCTAAAAAATATTAAAAGTTATTTATATTAACTAATGCATCATTCATTTATTTACATTTTGATACTTTATTATTTATTTGAGTTATACTGCAACATTACAGTTTTTATTTTATTTTAACAAATAATTTTATTTTAAATAATTTATTGAAAAATATTTATTTTTAAACATTATTAGAATCTATTATTTGTTTTGTTTTAGCGAACAATTAATATTGTGAGATTCGGATATATGGCTCTTTAATAATTTGCGACTGCAGAATCTTATTTCAACATGAAATAGTCTTTTTTTGTTTCTAAAGTTTAAGAAAATAAATATAAATAATTACATACACATACACGCACACAATACATACATGATACATACAAGGTATGGAGAAATGAATTTTATAAACTACATATGGCAGAGAAAAGGAATAAGAATTTCACATATTTATTTTTGTCAATTTGTACAAATAAGGAAAATATTTTAACTATATTCCAATTTGTGACAGAAAACACATATATTTTATCTTATTATTTACTACTTCTAATTTTAATTTTATATCTTATTTTTATTTATTTTTATCATATATTCTTTATAAACAAACATTCCATAATTATATTTGAATAAGATTTATATAAACGAAGTGAAAATATATACATATATACATTCTTACAAAGATATGTTAATGCCCTGTCTACAAATTGGAAAGTAGTATATAATAATGCTGGCTTA